CTGCCCCTGGCAATCATCAAAGAATGTTTCTTTTTTCTCTTTCAAACTCATATATTTGAAGAATATAAAAATAGATACATCTCACTCTTCCTCTCTTACCCATTCAGCCTATGCCTCAAACCGCGCTCTGGTAGCGTAGTGGTTACGAATCGGGCTGTGAACCTTAAGGTCAGCGGTTCGAAACTGCCAGCCGCTCCACGGGAGAAAGATGAGGCTTTCTACTCCCGTAAAGATTTACACCCTCGGAAACCCTGTACAGGGTCGCTATGGGTCAAAACTGACTCAACGGCACTAACAACAACAACAACATATACATGATAACTTGATTCCAAGCATATCTATGCTCAGAACACTGTTTGTTGTTCCAGGGTTGTACATGTATATCACTATATACCTCTATCCCCTGTAGCCCATACATACCTTCCTGTGCCTTCATCTATCTTCATTATTCTTCTGCCACCCTCCCTCTTCTTATACACTGGCCTCCTTCCCCCTTCTTGTATACTGCCCTCCCTGTCACCCAACCCTCTAGCCTGTGAATTACTCTCCTCTCCCTCCTACCTCTGGTACTCATCAAAGAATTTTTTTTTTTTATAGTCTGGAAACCTTTTCTTAAGCTTTTACAATAGTCTCATATAATATTTGTCTTTTTGTGATTGACTAACTTCACTCAGCATAATGTCCTCCAGCTTCATACAAGTTATGAGGTGTTTCACAATTTCATTGTTATTCTTCAGTGTTGCATTGTGTGTATGTACCAAACATTGCTTATCCATTCTTCCACTGGTGGGCACTTACTCTGTCTCCATCTTTTTGCTATTATGAATAGTACTGTGATGAACATCGGCATGCATATATCTACTTATGTCCTGGCTTGTATTTCTTGTGGATATATACCAAGTAGAGGGATTGTTGGGTCATACAGTATTTCTATTTCAAATTTTCTGAGGAATCACCATACTGTTCTCCAGAGTGGCTGAACCATTTTATGGTCCTACCAGCAATGTAGGAGGGTCCCAGATTTTCAACATCCTTGTCAGCATTTGCTGTTTTCCTTTTAATTTTGTTGTTATTTTGGTGTGAGATGACATCACATTGTTGTTTTGATTTTTTGCATTTTGGGTTAATGTGCTGGACTGCAAGGTCAGTTTAGACCTTAAGGTCGGCACTTCAAGGTCACCAGACACAACCTGGAAACCCTAGACAGGGTTGCTGTGAGTTGGAACCAACTCAACGGCACTTAACAACAACAACAATGGTTAATGAATGTGAACATTTCTTCATATATTTGTTGGCTGCCTGGATATTTTCCTTGGTGAAGTATCTGTTCCTATCCTGTGTTAATTTTTCAATTGGGTTGTTGGTCTTTTTCTTGTAGAGGTGTTGTAGTTTTTCTATGAATTTTAGATATTAGTCTCTGGTGTTTGATATGTCACTGCAAAAAATGTTGTCCCAGGCTGTGGGCTCCCTTTTTATTCCTTTGGCAAAATCTTTTAATACACATTAAGTTTCTACGTTTTAGGAGGTCCAAGTCATCTATTTTTCCTTCTACTGCTGGTGCTTTTGTGGTAATGTTTGATAGTGTCTGTATGCCATACATTACAACCTCTAAGTTTGTCGCTAATTTTTCATTTATGATCTCAGTGAGTTTTTTGTTTGTTTGTGTGTGTGGTGCTGCTGGATTCTTTGACCACGTAATTTTCTATGATGAGTTCATTTTGTTTGTTGGTTTTCTTTTCAGTTCTGTTGTATTATTGTTTATTAAAACTTTCTGAGTTTCTTCTTCTTTTTTTTTTTTTTTTTGATGTGCAGGTGTATTCTTTTTCTTTGAGGTTACCCTGTGATTTATTAATTTTTTTCCCCTGCTTTAAAACAGTCTTTTTTATCTTGAAATCTACTTTTGCCATTTGGAAATTCTGTATCTACACTACTGCCTCGTTTTGCTTTATTGTTGACTCCAATATACATTGATATCGCTGGTTCCCTATTTTCAGTCTTGTAAGCCTTTTTTACTTTGCTGTTGTAATCCTTCTATATCTAGATTAAGTTCTGGGTGGTGTTGTCATGTATGGTAATCTCAGGCTGTTGTCAGTTGTTGTTGGTTCTCAGTCCAAAGGACACCCTTTAGCTTTTTTTCTAAAGTATGTCTGGTGATTACAAATTCCTTTTTGCTTATCAGGAAATGTCCTAATTTTTCCATTGCATTTGAGGGACAGCTTTGCTGGGTATATGATTCTTGGGTGGCAATCTTTTCCTTTCAGAGTTTTGCAACATCATTCCATCCCTGCCTTCTTGCCTTCATGGTTTCTGCTGAGAAACCATGGTTCTCCTTTTAGGTAACTTTTTATTTTTCCCGAGCTGCTCTCAGGATTCTTTCCTTGTTCTTTGATTTTAGAAAGTTTGATTATGATATGTCTTGGTGATTTTCATTTGGGATCTATCCTGTTTGGAGTTTGTTCAGCTTCTTGTATTTAATTATGTTAGGGACATTTTCTTGCAGCAACTCTTTAACAATTTTCTCTATGCTTCTTGTCTCTTTCTGTTCTGGAATTCTGATCACATGTTGCTCCTTTTCATGGTGTCTCATATAACTCTTAGGCGTTCTTTGGATTTCTTCATTCTTTTTTCTTATTGTTCTTCTAGCATACTTGTATTGAGAGATTTCTCTTCAAGCTCACTAATTTGGGCTTCCATTGTTTCACACCTACTCCTTTGCCCTTTCAATGTATTCTCCATTTCTGAGATATTTTGGATTGCTAATTGCAGGTTTTGTGTTGTTTCAAGATCTGCATTTATTTTGTCTTTGTTCTTATACCGTTTTTCTGAATTCTTCTAAAGTTTTTATTGTGTTCTCCTTGCTTTCCTCAATCTTTCTATTGATCCTTTAAAGGTACCTATTTATCATTCTTTTTCATTCTCTTTCAGTTAGCTCTATTACCCTTTCTTCCTCAGAAATGTTTTTTAGCTCTGTATCTTGGTTATTTGTTTGAGTCATTCTCTCGTTTCTTTGTGTGAACTAAAATTGTCTGTTGTCTCCAAGGCATTGTGGGGTTGTCGTATTTGTAAAAACAAATAGTACAGTTCTTGGACTAAGAGGTGAGAAATCTCTGAGAGGCTCCTGCTATTCAAGGCGCTCATAAGGTGGTTGCAGAAGGAATTTAACAGCAGAGTTCCTGGCCCTAGATAGAGTTCTTATTGGCCTCATTGTTATCTATGTTCAGGTCACTCAATCCAGAAGTAGCTCACTGGGGCCACTGATGGAGCTAGTTTCAGTGTCTGTAAAGACCACAGGCAAGCTGGGAGTGGGGAGACTGGCTAAATGCTGGTTTGGCAGCTCTACGGGTTTTGTAGATCTGCAGTCAAGCATGTATGAATCCAGGCACAAAAGCGGCACACCAAAGTGGAACAGCTTTCCTCCACTTAATGATGGTGTTACTCTCAACCATGTGTCTCTAAACTTCTGGAGAGCAGGGTCTGTGCTGGGTGTGGAAGAGGGTTGGAGCAGGGGAGAGTGAGGAAAAAGAAATCGCACCTTTTCCATCACCTGAGTGAATCTGCTTTGCCAGGCCTACCTCTACGGCCAAAGCTGCTCACAAGATGGTAGAACCCTGTCTGGCTAGCCTTTCATCAGTCAGTCTTCCTCTGTTGCTGTTCCTGCTTGGCATCTTCTCCCAGCAAGCATTCCATCCACCTGTCTAACCTTTCTTTTGAAGTTCAGGGTGCCAGAATTTTCATATACGTTTGTTTTATTTTGCCTCTCATATCTTTGTTGTAGAGGGTTCATGCAGTGTATCTGCCTAGTCTGCCATCTTGCCACAAGTCTGACTTCTGATTTTTATAAAAGTGAATTATTGCTAATTACATTCACATGTAGGACTATCAATTTCAAGGTAAAAACTCCAATGAAAGAAAATTAACTGAAGGAAAATGGCTTCGAATTTCTAAGATTTATTATCTTTAAAGATATGTAGTAATGGCTTGTCAAGATAGAGTACATATGTGCTAAAACCTGCCTCTTCAGATTAAATAAATTGCAAATAAAATATTTTTAAAGTTATTTAAAAAACACACAGACCGGATTAACAATAAAAGGCAAATGTCTGTGTACCAGAGAATGAAAAAAAAGAGCGATGGTAGGGTTCTGGATGCCCAAGTCTTACAATGCAATGGGAATAAGGACTGGAAATGATCAAAGAGTTCAACAATCGTGCTGAACAGCAAGGGATACAAACTGGGCTCTCTACCCAAATCATGAGGAAATCCTCTTCTATTTTTAAACTGCAATGAAAATAGCACTAGTTGGGTGCTCTGGGTCCACGCTGCAAAACCATTACTAGTCTATTGAGGTAGAAGCACAAGTGTCAGCATGAGACCAAACCCATACATATGTGGTACACAGAGACTGAAACATGAAATGAAAGTGCTGAGCTACCTAAATGGTTTATCCTTATAATCCAAAGGGGTGTAAGTGAAGAAGGCAATCATAAAACCAGCAAGGTTTATACATTTCTACACTTTTGAGTGAAAAGACTATATGCTGTTCAAGACTATCAGTACAAAGAATATAAGATCAAACAAACAAAAAAGCAATATGTTATAAGTACTCATATTCTACTCAACTATAAAATGCTACTTTTCTCTCTGTGTCCTAACACATGGCCTTGTTAATTCCCTCAAATGACTGAGTTGAGAACATTCAAAATTCATTTGAGTAGAAGATAAAACTCTTTAAAAGAATTCTTGCAAAAAGCACTTCACAGAGCAATGGACTGATGCCCTGAGCTAGCCTGAACCATAACCTCACTTTTCTTGCTTGGCACCACCTTCACAAACTCACCAACAAGGAGGCCAAAACACCTTTCACCTGTTTCCAGGAAATTTACTGTAAAGTATTTTTCTAATATCACTGGTACCTTTGTTTTGTTTATATGTAAAAAACATGATTCTAAAATAAATAACTTATCATCTATTACACTAAAAGTAACTTGATTAGCTCTTACCTTGCTGGAGGTTTCTAATAAAAATTGAAATGTGTTCTGCACAGCTTGGCATGTTTCTAACTCAGTCCGGCTGAAGGCTATTAAATAATCCTTAAGATGATCATATATATTTCCATCAAGAGCCTGTAATATAAGAATAAGAAAAACAAAAATGTTACAATAAAATGTTGACACATAATGCTTACTGACACATAAACTCAAGAAAGGCAGTTTAATCTGTTCTTAGGTGCCATCATGTTGTTGTTAGTTCTTCCTCAAAGTGACCCTATGTATTACAGAATGAAGGACTGCCTGGTCCTGGGTCATCCTCACTATTATTTCATGTTGGAGACCATTGTTACAGACACTGTCAATTTATCTCATTGAAGGTCTTCTTCTTTTTCGTTTTTCCAGGAGGACATGTCTAAAGTATGTGAGACAGTCTCACCATCTTCTCTTCTAAGGATTCTGGCTGCAGTTCTTCCAACACAGATTTGTTCATTCTTGTGGCAGCCCATGATATACTCAATTGATACAAACTCTTCTTCAGTCTTTCTTATTCACTGTACAACTTTTGCATGCATATGAGGCAACTGAAAACACTGTGGCTTGGATCAGGTACATCACAGTCTTCAAAGTAATGTTTTTAAAAAACACTTTAAAGAGATGTTTTGCAGCAAATTTGTCCAGTTCAATATGTTGATTTCCTGATTACTGCTTCCATGGATGTTGATTATGTCTCCAAGTAAAATGAAATCTTGACAACTTTAATCTTTCTTCCATTTAGCATGATGTTGTTTATCGGTCCAGTTCTGAGACTTTAAAAAAAAATTTTTTTTTTTTTTTAATGAGGAGTTATAATCCAAACTGAAGGCCAAGTTTATAATCTCCATTTTAAACACTTTAAGTCCTTTCAGCAAGCAAGATTGTGTAGTCTGTATACTGCAGGGTTTTAATGAGTCTTTGTCCAGTCCTGATGCTGCATTTGTCTTCATACAGTACAGTTTCTTGGATTATTTCCTCAACATACGGATTAAGTATGGTGAAAGGATACAATCCTGATGAACACTTTTCCTGATTTTAAATCATGCAGAATCCAACATTACTAATAGCAATAAAAATGTAACAGAATTTGTTCCAAATTTTGCATCCATTTCTTACTATCATTAAAAACTTATTTTAATAATAAATGGGCAAAAGATATAGTTATGTAAGAGTAAATACAAATAGTAAACAATAACTTGACAAAATGTTGACTTTCTCTAATAAATAGGATTAGAAAAAGTAAAATTCAAAATTTGAAAAGCAGTGGAAAAACAGGGCAAAACTTGGAGACAAAAGTCCTGGGTTCTGATCCTTCCTCCTCCACTTATGTGTATTTCTCTAGTCACTATAAACACAGTAGATATGGGAGTTAAATGAAATGATGGCCATGACTGTCTCCTGGAATAGACACTTGATAAACATTAATCTCCTTTACTGGTTCCTCAACCATTTCTGGTACAATTATAAATTATTACATTCTTAGTAGAGAGCAGTCATAGAAACCACAAGAGAAATAGTGTCAAGAAAGTGTTCCAGGGATCCTGTGTTGGAAAAGAAACAACAATGCAGTATTTATGAAGGGTCTTAAACATTCTTATTTGTTTAAACCTTTATAGCAGGCCTCTTTGGAATTGAAAAAGAAAGCAAAGCAAAGAAAGCCACTGGCCAAGTGAAGAATGATGTGAAGAAGTTGGGACTTACACAGTAACATACATGCAGCAATATGAAAACTGTCAAGACTGTATCAGGGCTTCAAACTAGTTCATTCCGGTTTGACTCCCTAATGAGAATTTGCATTTCTGTCAGATATACTGAATTAGAATCTACCTTTTAACAAGCTCTCCAGGTGATTTTTGTATTTTCATATATAAGAATCACCTGGCAATCTTGATAAACTGTTGATTCTGATTCACTATATCTGTGGTGGAAATATAAATTCACAGCAGGTCGAACTGCAATAAAATGGTTTGAAGCCTTGGACTACAAAGATGAAAAATTCTGTATCAAACAACTTTGGGTTTTAAAAAAGAGAACGAAATAAAATAAATAGATCCTATAAACCAGTATATATATTTACAGAAGTATATCTGTAAGAATAATTAAACCATTTTAAAAGAAGCCCTGGTAATGCTGTGGGTTAGGCATTGAGCTGCTAACCACAAAATTGGTGGTTAAAACCCATCAGCCACTCTATGGGAGAAAGAAGAGCTGTCCATTGCTATAAAGATTTACAGTCTCAGAAACACTGTATAGGGTTGCTATGAGTTGGAATCAACTCGATTTGGCAGTGGGTTTTTGTTGTTGCTTAACCATTTTAAGGATGCAATTTCATGGCTTTTTAGTACATCGACAACAATATTATGCAATCATTGCCACTACATTTTCTTCACCCTAAAAATGAAACCCCATATCCATTAAATAGACACTCCTCATTCTCTCCTTCCTCCATCTTCTTTCTTGTGACCACAACCTGCTTTCTGTCTATGGATCTGCCTACTCTGGACGTTTCATACACTATGTGTGGCCTTTGTGTTTAACTTCTTCCACTTAGCATACTGTTTTCAATGTTCATCCATGTTGCAACTGACCTATTTAAATTAAGCATGTATCAGCATTTAATTCCTTCTTCATGGCTGTATAATATCACCTACATTATGTTTATTAATCAGCTGCAGGAGGCCTGCATGTTGTTGTTACGTGCTGTTTGGTCAATTCTGACTCATGGTAACTTCATGTGTGCTAGTGAATCTGCTCCCCAGGGTCTTCAAGGATGTGACCTTTCAGAAACAGATCACTATAAAAAGGTGACACAGTGGCTAAGCAAATTGCTCTAAATCAAATTCACCACCTTCTCTGCAGAAAAAGAAGCGGCAGTGTACCTGTAGAGCAGTCCTACTCTGGAGTCACTATCAGTCAGAATTAACTTGATGGTAGTGAGTTTGGTGTTTGGTTTTTAAATCAGTTGATGGACATTTGTGTTGTTTCCACTGTGGGCAACTATGAATAATACTGCTACAAACTTTCTGTTATCAATATTTCTTTTCAATTCACTTGGGTATATATACCTAGGAGTGGAATTGCTGGGCCATGCGGCAATTCTATGCATAAATCCTGAAGTACAACTAACTGTTCCCAGATTAGGTGCACCAATAACATTCTCACCAATAATATGAGAGCTGCAATTTCTCCACTCCTTGCCAACACCTGCTATTTTCCGTTGGTTTGTTTTTAGTCTCGCAATAGTACCAGGTGTGAAGTGGCATCTCATTATTATTTCATTTGCATTTCTCTAACAACATTATACATCTTTTTGTGTGCTTATTAGCCATTTGTCTATCTTCTTGGAGAACTGTTTTTTCAAGTCCTTTGCTGTAAAGGACTCTGAAATTGGGTTGTCCTTTTGTTGAATTTTGTTGTTGTTGTTGTTGTTAGATACCATACAGTTAGTTCGGAGTCATATTGACCTTATGCACTTCCCGGTCCTGGACCATCCTCCCAATTGTTGTTATGTTTGACCCACTGCTGCTGCTCCTTTGTCAGTCCATCTCATTGGGAGTCTTCCTCTTTTTCGCTGACCCTCCACTTTACCAAGCATGATGTCCTTCTCCAGGGACTGTTCCTTCCTGATAACATATCTGAAGTATGAGAGATGAAGTCTGGCCATCCCAGCTTTTGAAGAGCATTCTGGCTATACTTCTTCTAACACAGATTGGTTTGTTCTGCTGGCAGTTCACGGTACTTCCATTATTCTTTTTCAAAACCGTAATTCAAACGCATTGACTCTGCTACGATACTATCTAACTGACTGTGCTCACATGCATGTAAGGCAAATGAAAATACCCTGGCTTGGATCAGGTGCACTTTAGTCCTTATACTGACACACTTGAGTTTTAAAAGGAATTTGTACATTCTGTTTACTTAATCCTTATCAGATACATGATTTGAAAATGTTTTTTTCCTTGTGGGGTTTGACCTTTCACTTTTTTTGATCAGTGTCCTTTGATGCATGAAATGTCTTCATTTTGATGACACCCAATTTATTAATGTTTTCTATTGTTGCTTAGTGTTTTTGTACCACATCTAAGAATCCTCGATGGAGGTTTTCTAGTACAAAAATATATAGAGGTATATGTATTTCATATTTGGATATTACATTAAAATTTTAATAAAAAACTGAGTTTAAAAAAATCACACAAAGTCTATTCTAAAAACATTGAGGAATACAAGTGCACGTTCTATTGAATTTATACCACTAGATGGCACCATCAAGCACTTTAAACACAGGAGTACAAATTCTTAGGATTCTTTCATGTAATTACGTAACATCCTTAGAGCAAATGCTGATGTTAAATTGGAATGAAAGTTCTTCCCTTAGGACATAATTTTCATGAATGTGTGTGGAAAAAAACACAACACTTCTTTTGATATGAGGTTTTTGCCTTAGAATTATCATAAACTTGTGTTTTCAAGAAATCAACTGACCTATTTTATTTAAATTCCGCAAATGGAAATATAGGCATCATGAGCTCCCTAAAAGAGAAGGCATGGATCTTTAAGGTGAATCAAAGATATGCATGTGTCCTCTGACCTCACAACAGGAAAACCGAGCTCCAGTTGTATAGGACACTTTGCTAACTGTATGGAGGTCATGAAGAGGGAGGTGTGCTATGGAGTCAGCTCCGACTTCAGCGACCCTATACAGAGTTTTCAAGGCTGTTAATCATTACAGGACAGAAAGCTTTATCTTCTCCCACAGAATGACAAATTTCAACTGACCTTGCAGTTAGTAGCCCAACCTGTAACCCACTATAGTACCTGAGCCCCTTGAAGAGGGAGGAGGGATGCTTAAAAAAAAGAAATAAAATTCTTACTTTTGTTTTGACCTTACACAGTATTTCTCATTAAAGAAATTGAATACTGATTTTGAGCAAAGTATGCCACAAATCTTTAACTGTTTACTCATTCAGGTTCTTACATTTTATTTAAAGTAATCTTGGGTTACAAGCTGGGCTGCTAACCACAAGGTCAACGGGTTGAGTCCACCAGGCACTCCTTGGGAATAAGATGAAGTTTCCTCCACCTGTAAAGATTTACAGCCT